CCCATCGCCACAGCTCCTGTACCACCGCTGAGCGGCCAGGTCACCAGCACATATGTAACCGAGACGATCTGTGCTGACCCGACAGAGAGATGGGTTCAGAGGACGATGAACTTGGTGGACTTAGGTGTATTACATCTTTAAAGTGGACACAGAGGCAAAGTAAACTGCTTGTTACAGTATATATCTAATGCTTTTACATTTTTTATGATATCTGTTAACTCAGGAAGTCTTGAAATGATCTAAACCCTTAGCAAGCATTGTCAAAATTATATTGTTCTTCCCTCCTGAAAGGAAAGTGTCAGAATCAGTCAGAACAGCAGAAACTACACCACTCCTCCAACCAGAGGAAACAACTCTAGTCCTCTTCAAAGAGTCACAAGACTGGTTAGAATTTCTCCTCTTTTATGATAGCCTATCTGTTAACTCAGGAAGTCTTGAAATGATCTAAACCCTTAGCAAGCATTGTCAAAATTATATTGTTCTTCCCTCCTGAAAGGAAAGTGTCAGAGTCAGTCAGAAAAGCAGAAACGACATCATTCCACCAACCAGAAGAAACAACTCGAGTCCACCTCAAAGAGTCACATGACCAGTTAGATTTTCTCCTCTTTTATATTGTATGTTTAACCTTAGGAAGTCTTCATATTATCTAAACCCTTGGCGGACATTATTAAAATGACATTGTTCTTCCCTCTTTAAAGGAAAGCATCAGAGTCAGTCAGAATGATAGAAACTACAACACTCCACCGGCTGGAGGAAATGTGTCTAGTCCACTTTGAAGAGTCACATGACCGGTTAGATTTTGTCCTCTTTTAAGTTGTCTGTTACTCAGGAGGATTAAAATGTAAAGTAAAATGTTCTAATGTAAAAACCACAAACACTGGGCCAGAAGTATCCTTATTGTCGAGTTTTGTAATAAAATGTAATATCCCAGATGGAACAGGTAACTATGCTGCATACTATACAACTATTGTGTGAACGGCAACTATTTCTGTGTTTTTTTGGTGAACAGAAAAATGCAGATCCCAAATAGTGAGCATGCAAACACCAATAGAAATGTACTAAATCTAATAGTCCAGTACAGTTATGGGCATGGCACGAGCATGGCACTGCGTCATTATGTCACGTCTGTAAACATAAAGAAGTTGTCCCGGCTATAGGCTATCGCATGTGAGGATCCTGCAGGTGGCGGATGGTTTGTAGCCTTTTCTCACAGCAGCTGGAATAATTAAATTTATCATTTTGATGGTGGATTGTAATCCATAAAGGATTATGTGTTTATGAAACACGTGAATGAAATAAAATTATATTCTAGTTATAAATGTGCTTCTGATTACAGATAGCCTGGGATTACAAAAAATTGTATTTTAAAGAAAACCAGTTCGAAGGGAGCATAATTTGCTTTTTGGGTTAAAAGAATTTCTTAATATGTAATTTCGAAGAGTATGACAATTAGATTAGACTGTGCAGAAATTGAAATCTACACGCTAATACACACTGTACTCATAGTCACCAATGCTGATGATATTAACATGAATCATTTGAGAATAAAGTATAACAATAATAATAATTTAAACGGTTTGATGTGATATGAGCTAATCGATCTTTAGATTTAATCCCCCTGAAAGGAAAGTGTCAGAATCAGTCAGAACAGCAGAAACTACACCACTCCACCAACCAGAGGAAACAACTCTAGTCCTCTTCAAAGAGTCACAAGACTGGTTAGAATTTCTCCTCTTTTATGATAGCCTATCTGTTAACTCAGGAAGTCTTGAAATGATCTAAACCCTTAGCAAGCATTGTCAAAATTATATTGTTCTTCCCTCCTGAAAGGAAAGTGTCAGAGTCAGTCAGAAAAGCAGAAACGACATCATTCCACCAACCAGAAGAAACAACTCGAGTCCACCTCAAAGAGTCACATGACCAGTTAGATTTTCTCCTCTTTTATATTGTATGTTTAACCTTAGGAAGTCTTCATATTATCTAAACCCTTGGCGGACATTATTAAAATGACATTGTTCTTCCCTCTTTAAAGGAAAGCATCAGAGTCAGTCAGAATGATAGAAACTACAACACTCCACCGGCTGGAGGAAATGTGTCTAGTCCACTTTGAAGAGTCACATGACCGGTTAGATTTTGTCCTCTTTTAAGTTGTCTGTTACTCAGGAGGATTAAAATGTAAAGTAAAATGTTCTAATGTAAAAACCACAAACACTGGGCCAGAAGTATCCTTATTGTCGAGTTATGTAATAAAATGTAATATCCCAGATGGAACAGGTAACTATGCTGCATACTATACAACTATTGTGTGAACGGCAACTATTTCTGTGTTTTTTTGGTGAACAGAAAAATGCAGATCCCAAATAGTGAGCATGCAAACACCAATAGAAATGTACTAAATCTAATAGTCCAGTACAGTTATGGGCATGGCACGAGCATGGCACTGCGTCATTATGTCACGTCTGTAAACATAAAGAAGTCTATAGGCTTATAGGCTATCGCATGTGAGGATCCTGCAGGTGGCGGATGGTTTGTAGCCTTTTCTCACCGCAGCTGGAATTGATCATTT